TATGTTACTCATATTTTGATTCTCTAACTTTTTTAGAAATGATTTTTATTATCAAAAGAAATTTGAGAAAGTTTAAAAATAGATTTAAAAAACAACTTAAAAGAATTTTAAATTTAATTAATTTTCTTCTAAAAATATTTATAAAATAAATGTGTCACTTAAAAAACACTTTTTTGGGAGGTATCCCAATAACTCATCCTCAGTCCTGTTTCTCATGCTTGGTGGTAGATCATATTATTTTTACTTTTTTGCTACTAATTTCTTGTGATATTCATTAGTGACTTATTTTTTTTTAGGAAACATTAGAGACTCTTTTTCTTTTTTAGTTTTCTTTAAGTTGTTATGAATTATCCTTTTTGTTTTTCTTATACTTCGATTACTTTTGAGAAGAACTAAATGATGGGTGTATTAAAGGTTATACTAATCAAAAGTGATCAGCTGATTGGGTATATTTATTAATTTATTAGATAAATTCATTTTAATCTCTATTGTTTAAAAAGTTTGAGTTTAGTTCCACGTATTTTAACATTTTTTAAGTATATGTTTTCTGTTGGTAAATATTAAAATTTGCTCGTCAGATGTTAACATGACATAGAAAATAAAATTTGTTTGCTATAATTAAAAAGTACTAAAACATAAGAGATTTATTTAAAACTTTTAAATATAGGGACTAAATTGAAAAAAAACACCAAAACGTGAAAAATATATGATTAAAATTACAAGTTCAATGTATAGATTTTCCACGTCATTAAATTTTAAAAGGTGTCTTGTAAGTTCGTATACTTTTAATTTTGAATTTTAAAATGTATAATAATACATCTTGATTTACTCAACACTTAAAAATTAAAAATTTAAAGTCCTACTAAACACAATAATTAAAAGTATTGAATATATTAATGACTTGACTAGATACAAAACTAAAACTTCAAGGATGCTTTTAGCATTCAAATATCAATTGAACTTAGATAGAATTGAAAGTTTAATTAACATATTAAATACAGTTGTGTGAACTAAATTTGTAATTTAATTAAAATATATTTAGGGTAAGTTGACTTTGGAAATGGATGAAATCGGTGGGAACATCTGATCTCATTAATTTTTAAGTTTCTTTTTCTTTGAGATAACAAAAGTATAGGATTAGGTGTAGCCGACAGGTTTGACTGATGTCATGTCACGTGTCGTCACGTGGATCTATATATATAAAGATCATATTATAATAATAATATAATAGCACGGCCTTGGCTGAGCTGGCTCCAGCTCTCCTCTAATCATACGACATGGGGTCCACTTTGGTTTCGCCAGTTGTAAAGTTCTCTTTTTTCCTTTTTTTTTCCTTTGGTTAAAATAATGTACAGGTTAAAAAATACGATTCTTTACTCCTTTTTTTTTTACTTTGATTTATTTTAACCTCTGTCCTTTTAAAATGTTGGTTTTATTCTTATATTTTGAACTTTATTTTTAAAATTTTAACGAAAATTCTATCATAACCGAAAAATTACCATTCAATATATTTATTGAATGTAGTACTAGGTTGAAATTATGATTGAAAAAATGAGATTAAAAATAAAATTAAGGGATAAAAATGATTATCGTTTAAAAGTACATTGAATATGACGAACATTTTGAAAGTCCAGAAAGTAAAATGAACTAAAATTGAAACTATGGTAATCAAAATAAATATCTTTAAAGTGTAAGAACCAAATTTAAAAGTACAGAAACTAAAATAGTATTTTAATCTAGTGTATATTGTAATTGATTTTGAGTTTTTTAATTGATTCTTTTAGTTCAATTATTTTAAGTTATAGATTTGAGGAGGGCAGATATTTATGACCTTTTGTATTTTTTATTCTATCTTTCAATTAAAAAATATGAGTGTTGGGTAATTATTCACGTTTCTTATTTTTCATTTTTTAAGAAATATTTTTTAAATTTGGTAGAAATTTTAAATAATAAGATTCAGTTTCTTGTTCATGTTTCTAATTTTTTTTCTCCAACATATAAATAAAAATATTATTTTATCATTCTTGACTTGTAAAATGCATAATAAATATAAAAAATAATATAAGATAAAAATTTTGAATATTTTATTTTTAAAATTTATCTTCTTGTAAAATTTTACATTTTTAATTTAAAATTTTTGATAACGAGAAACAAAAAATGGTTACTAAATAAGTTTTTATTTATTTTTTCAATAAAAAAAGGAAAAAATAAATAAATAATTATTTGACACAATTCTACTACTATTTATTAAAATTATAAAATAAAAAACAAGAAATAAGAGTGTTCCAAACAGTCTCTAAAATTTCTATTTCTAGACACATAAACATGTTCGGTATCTGTTTCTCCTTCTCTAAAATTTTAAATAAAATAAAATAACCTTTTATATGAAAAATAATTTTTAGATTAAGTATTCAAATTTTTTCTTGTATTTATTTTTTAATGTTTATTATACATTTTGTAAGTTAAAATGATAGAATAATACTTTTATTTATATATTGAAAAATCTAGAAACAGTAAAACAAGAAATTTGATTTTATTATTTTCAAAATTTCCAACGTTTTTTAAAAATAAAACGTAGGAAGTATGAATAGTTATAAAATAATTATACTTTTTAAAAATTGAAAACGATAAACAAAGAAATAATGAATGTGATCCCAGATACCTTAGTGAAAAGTTTATGATATTTTAACCACTTAATGTATTAAGGACTTGAGCTATTGAGAATTAAAAGAGAGATTTCAACCAACAACTTCTTTTTTTTTTTTTAGAAAAAAAGCTTACTGTATTTAAACAATATTATTAATGTCTAGAGTAGTTTAATTATTTCGAAGTCTTATAATTTCATTGATAAAGGACATCTAAATTCTATTTTTGGCATTTGTATTTTCAGCTCAGGTGGTTTCAACTTATGTTATTTTTTATTGTATTTTCAAAAAATCTATTTTAATCCAAAATTTTAAAAGTTATAATTAATTATTTTATTATTTTAGTACAACGCTACTTACTTGAAATATTGACATTTCTTTATTTTGAAGGGTATTCATTGTTAAAAAAAAAAATTGTGTTAGGATTTTTTTTTTTTTTTTATGGATATAACAAATCGGAGATACGAACATTCTAACCTCCAACTTCAAAGAAAGGAATACATACCAATTGTCAGTGAACTATGAGACTTATATTTTATTGATATATTATTAATAGATTTGTCCAAAACATAGCTCCCCAACGAGTAGACTCGATTTTTCATGTTGAATTAAAAAAATGCCGAACAATTGATAAATTTAAAATTTATTTGATTTTAACTAAGTGAGCCGAAATTCTGATTATTCTCTCTTTTTAAGGGTTTCATCCCTTAGAAGCAACATCACCCCTATTTTTTTCTTTTCTATTTTAATTTAATTAATTTTTTGGAATGAAATGATCCACTTTCACTTATAACTTTTAATTGTTCTATTTTAATTTGTAACGTCGTCTAAAAGAATATTTGGGTCTTTCTCAATGAATAAGTAATCATTGTATTTACAAAATTTTCTTGTTACACAATGTGAATTTAAATTTTAATTGCATGTATGAAGTTGTTAAACTTTTAAATAAATTGCTTAAGATTTCAATTCATTTCTTTTTTTTTTTTGTATCATATTACGAAATGAGGACAGAAATATTAGCCCTAAATAATGAAATAGAGATGTCCAATTATTTAGGTTGAGTTATTTGGGTAAGAAAACAAAGTAAAAGAGACATAAATGAATTTCAAATATCACAATGGCACTATTTATTTAGTTATTAAAATTTCAAGATCTCCAACCATCAAACGTTGTAATAGAGTTAAACAATTGTCCCATTAAAGGAAAAAAAAATGTCCCAAAATATGGCAATAAAAATAACAATATCCAGAATATATTCTTATAAAATACTTACTATTAATATTTATTCCCAAAGTAACGAGGCTTTTGTTGGCATTCAAGGTATATTTGCTAGTATGTTTCATCATATACACTTGTGATGCAGTATTTTTAAGGTTTAAATACTATTTGATTCATCGGTAATTCCTTTCAATAATTGTAAATTTAAAATATTTATTTTGATTCGTATACTTTCAACTRTTATTCATTTTAGTCCCTATAATTTTAAAATGTCTATTTTATTATCTGTATTTTTAAGAAATGACCATTTTAATCTCTATTTGCAAAATTTTAAAACTATTTTCATACACCATTGAAACCATTTAATACAAAGTTATTGGTGTATTTCAAAAGTTTATTAAGTATAAAGCTGCGTTGAAATTATGGTAGGAAAAAAAAAGGTATAAGAACAATTAATTAACTAAAATGATCATTTTTTAAAAGTACATGAATCGAAATTGAGGTTGATTAGAATAAATAAAATTCAAAAATAAAAATATCAAAAAGTAAAAAAAACCCAAATAAAATAAAAACCAAAATAGCATATAAACATATTTTTAAAATAAAAAAGAAATTATTGGCTGGGAACAACTTTTGCCATTAATAGAGCAATTATAGAAAGTACTTAATACTCTGACAAAGTAGAAAGGTTAAAAAAAAATTTGCCAGCTTGCCAACTCATACACAGCATGGACAAAATTTTTTACAGTGTGTAAAATATCAAGCCTCAATCCTTTTCCCAGCAATTTGATTACTGCATCTACACTTCACTATTGTAGTAGTTGACTTCAAGAGTATTAAAAAATTTGATAATTTGTACTTTGATTTTTGTGGGTCTACTTTCAATTTCATTTCAATTTACCAACCCATTTAAAAGTTTCATTTTCCTTTTATATAGTAGCTAAAATGCATAGAATGTTCATTTTTATTATACATTTAACTTTAGAGTCTCGTTTCAAAATTTTTTTAATACACATATTAAATAAATGAAAGCAGATTTTGTAAATATAAAAAAATGAAAGCACATTTCTTAGATGATTCCATGAATTGGATAAGTATGTTTGTTTATTCTAAATTATGAATTTGTCAATCCCACAAATTACATAAACCCATCTTACATAAGCTCAAACTTATAAAACACCCCCATTATACCAATTACAGCCCCACAAACTAAACACATATTATACAAATCAAAGTTTCTATGTAACCTATTTCTTCATGCAATTGTTCATGCACGGTTCTGGCGAGGTCCACGCTAACACGTGAGCCAAGATAAATCATTGATCTGGCAAATTGACGACCTATGCAAACAGAACTTTGTAAGGGAATGAACTCCAACTTTTATAGGGTAGCTTTGGGAAGCATTGCTTTGCCATTTCGGTATTTTGTAATTGTCAATTAGTGAATCTCCTGTTAGAGATCAAAGGATCATCTACAACCATTATCCGCATTCTAAGGTCAGGCTCGAGTTGATCTCACACTCACGTCCTCGAGATGTCTGAGTCGAGGCCTTGGACATGCGTTCGGCCACGTGGTGCCCTAGCTTTACCCCTAACACAATCAAACACAAATTACACAAACCTAGAAGATCCATAAACATAGACATATTAAAATCACAAATAAAACATCCTCCAAATTTCCATAGTCCATCATTCTACACAATCAAAACTCGGAGAGTTCAAATATTCCAATTTCAAGCTTATTAAAATCGTGAGTCAAAAATCTATTCACCCGAACGAGCTAAAGCCTGACGATAACACAAACTAATAATGGTAAAAATCTGAAAACAAACCCAAAACTCAAATCTTAGAAATTGAATCCAATCCAAGAAGGGCAGAGAAGAGAAGACAAGAAGTGGTGGGAAAAGGCAGTAAATAATCATGGAGAAAGAGGACACCCACCCCTACGGAGATCGCTTTTGGGCATCAAAATTTCCAAGTTAGCATACCTGCAGACACTGCCATTGGGCATGTGGGCCTCCAAATATTAAAAACAAATTAAAATCAAAACACACACACCATTCTTAAACTCTGAACTGGCATCCATCCACATTTTTATTTTTTTTCCATTTACCAAAAATCACATCTTCTTGAAATTTGAACCCCCTCTACCCCCATTTTTAATCTCTGCCCTCTATTTAAACCTCTGTGTGGCTTCTTTCTAGGTGTGATCAGATCAGTTCAATAAGCCTCTGCTTCTTATGTTTTCTGGGTTTTGCCCACCACCTGTTCGACGAATGGCCTCAATGGCCAATCTGTATCTTTTTTGCGTTGTTCTTCTTTTTGCCTCATGGGTATTGCTTGTTTTCTCTCGAAACTTGTTGGGTGGTGAGGGATTATGACTTCTGGTTCCCTGAGTTTTGAGATTGAGTTGTTGTCTTTTTGCAGGTTTCAGCCAATGCCAATGGACTGTCTGGGGAGAAGGAGGAGGTGACTTTGATGGTTAGTTTGGGATCTGAAAATGTTGCTTTTGTTGTTATGTTGAGTCTTTTTGATAATATAAAATTGAGATTTGACCACATTTTTGTTATGTCGTTTAGCATTAGAGTGAAAAATGGTAACTGAGAACTGAAGAAGTAAATTTTTGCTATTTGGTTTACAGGATGTTGTGTACCCCAAGGTTCCAGTTCCAGCCCCTGTTCCTTCTCCTCCGGCTTACAAAGAGCCGGCGCCGGCGCCGCCTGTCAAGCCACTGCCGCCGCCGGCTCCGCTAATCAAACCACCGGCAGCTCCGCCGGTTAAGGCACCATATACCCCTGCTCCACCAGTCAAGCTTCCCCCACCTCCAACTCCGCCGGTGAAGCCGCCGTCATCTCCTGCTCCGCCGGTGAAGCCGCCGTCATCTCCTGCTCCGCCAGTGAAGCCGCCGTCTTCTCCTACTCCGCCGGCGAAGGCACCTTACGTTCCTTCTCCGCCGGTGAAGCCGCCGTCTTCTCCTGCTCCGCCGGTGAAACCACCATACACCCCATCTCCTCCGGTGAAGGCACCTTACACCCCTGCTCCGCCGGTGAATCCGCCGTCTCCGGCAGCTCCCAAGCCACCGCCAGTCTCCGGCCAGGGTAAAGAATCTTCTCTACATCTCAAATAGTTTTGAAATGCAAAGAAACTCCTAATTTTAACTTAAATAGTTTTGAATAGCTTCCTAGACTTTCAAATTATTTTAAACTTCCACATTAATGAAATGGGCATACCTATTAAAAGCATTTTAAAGGATAATCCATTAGACACCAAATTGAAACTTATGGACGATTGTTGATACAAGATTTTTATTGAACGGACATTTAGATTCTCACCTTTGTTGTGCAGGAATATAAAATACTATATTCCTTTGAATATTGTAGGATGTCAACAGAAGATATCTTTCTGAGTTTTGAATTTTCTTTTAAAACATAGATTTTCAAGATCTTCGAGTGGAGCCTTTTTTCTAGCACCTTCCTGACATGTAATTTAATTTACAACTCTTACAAGTACATGGACCAAATAGATGCACTTCAAAGTTGAACCTATTAAACCCGAAAGTTAAAAAATGAAAAGTTTAGAAACTAAATTTGCAACGGAGGGGTTTGTTTGTTGTTGAACACAGAATGCTACCCACAATGTGGAAGGAGATGTGAGCTGCATTCAAGGAAGAGGGTGTGCATAAGGGCGTGCGTGACGTGCTGCTACAGGTGCAAGTGCGTGCCGCCGGGGACATACGGCAACAGAGAGCTCTGTGGAAAGTGCTACACCGATATGACCACTCACGGCAACAGAATCAAGTGCCCATAATAAACAAACAAAACCAAAGCCTTTTTCTTTTTCTTCTCTTTTATATGGTTTTATGTTCTTCCAAGGGTTAATTTACATGCTCTCTGTTTTGAATCTGTTTGGATTTTGATGTATGATAGTGGTGGTATTAGTTTATCTATCTACTCTTGCTTTTGCAACTTGTGTCATTTTTCTTTCTTTTTCTGTTTTTACTCATGGCTGGCCACGTAGAAGAAACTTGAAAGTTATGTGCAATCCCATTTTCCCGAGGCAAGGAATTAACTTTCAACTTGTGGAAAAGTGGGGAATCTCAATTTTAGTTGGAGTTGTTGATGCTGAGTTTTGGAGAGGAGGTCTACGTGTCTTATAAGATGGGTTGTTGTCGGATGAATGAGTCTGCAAAATAACAATCTTCGATATCGGTGCAATGTCCTGTTTAATGATCTTCAACGGACAAGTTAGTAATCGTCGAGAAATATAGCAGAGAGCACCTTAGGTTTCTAGTGTTAGATTTTTCACTTATCCAGTGGTCATTGTGGTTCTTTCCCTTTTATAGGTAGAGAATGACTAGGTAGGACGTCCTGTTAGTGAAGGTAGAGTTTATCGTTGTACGAGATTATGATGAGCGATTAGGGGACATCCTTGAGACGCGGTGGTAGTATTGTGTGACTTGCCACTCGATCTCATATAGACTTTCGTCTGTAGAGTGAGGTGCATCTCCCTTATTATGTAGTGCCAGTGCCTAGGTTCTATCTCACTCAATCGTACATTCCATTTAGTTTGTGGTCCCCAACCAAGTGTCACTCTTTATCTCGTCGAACAACATGAATATTTATGGAAAATTACAAAATTCAAGAAATTTATAAAGTAATAATAAAAAAAGCATTTAGATTAATGGCAACCACTTTATGCTTTTTAAATATTAAAATTTTTTAATGATCTCTCTGTTAAGTTAAAAAAATTTATGACAAGTTAATGATATATATTTTACTATGAAATGAATAATAATGAAAGCTACCATAATGGACTCGAGATAAATACATATTGTAATGGGTTGACTGTTATTTTGTCCTCCGAATTTTGAACCAATTTTTGTTTTGTTTCTTATAATTTTTGAATGCTTTATTTATTTATTTATTTCTTTTTCTTATAGAAGTTTATTTTTCTATCTTTGATGTTAAATTTTTGTATCATATTTAATGAAAACCTTAAATATAGTTTAAAATATTAATATAATCCATGTGATATCACTTAAAATTTCAAGTTAATACAATCTAGAAATTTGACACAAAAACAAATTTATTTTATGTAAGATTCAAGCAACATAGCTAAAGTAGAGAATAAATATAACAAGGTTAGTTTAAATCCTATTTTGATATTGTAAAAGATAATAATAATAACAATAAAAGCCTTGATCTGTGTAAATTTCATTTTGGTTGCTAATTTTTATATATTTTATTTTAGTCCCTCAACTTCCAAACGTTCCATTTTAATGGTTGACATTAAATTTTTCATTAATCATGTAACAATTTCAAACTCTAACAATATTTGACCTATCATAAAAACTAGTTAATACATTACTTAATTTCCTAAAAGTCAAAGTTCAGATCTCTTCACGCACATGATTTAAAAAAAAAAAAAAAAACTCACTTGTCTACCATAAGCATCAATATATCATGAATCAAAAAAATGAATGGAATGGATACCTACGTGAAACCTTTATTAAATAATTTATAAAAGAACCAAGAACAAAGAACTAAAATAATTCTTTATGCATAATACTACAACAAAATATTTAAAATGTTTTAAGAAAAATAATACAAAAAGTATGGATTATAAAGTTTCATGATTAGGGACTCTAATTATAAACATTATAGAAGAATTTCCAATCCTAACCTTTTTGGCTATATATATATATATATATATTTGTAGAAGTCAGTTCAATGACATTAAAATCATGATATTACATTTCAATTAATTTGGGGAAGAGATATGGTGAGGTGTACACATCAAGAAGATCTTTGTGGCCTCATAAAGAGAAACAAATATATAGAACAAAGTGAGGTTGCTTCCAAACGCCCATCACTCTGCAGCTGTGAGGGACCATTTTCCTCCTCTTCATCTACCCAATGAATTAAAACTTCGATATCGACCTAGTTTTGTTTTGTTTTAGAATAATGATGTAAATGTCTATAAAATATCAATGTCGACAAATATCTTTATAAAATAATTTTTTAGAACTAAAATGTATATAAAAAGTATTGGTAAAATTTTAAATTTATTGGAAATCAGAATCAAAGAATGAGAATGAATTTTTCCATTATTTTGATGGTGCTAGGAATGAAATCAAATTGTGAGACCCACCTCAAATTTGGGAATCTCGTTCCGTAAAAGGGCAATCTCATTTCTGTGCTACACCCTAATCAATTTCATTCTCAATTCTCATTCCTTACCATATGAGCCCCACATATTATTAGGATTACTTTACTACTTTTACCCTTTTTTTTATTTATTAATTTAATGAGACTCATGACTTTTTAATTTATTTCTTTTTAATTTCTACTACTAATATTTTTTCTTCTAATAAAAATTTATACAATTTTTATTGGTTGATATGATTTTATTATAAAATATTATAAATTTATACTTAATTTAAAATTAGTTTTTTTTTACTTTGTTATTATTAATTAATATTAATAGATTTTTTAAAATAGAATTTATTGTTATTGATTATTAGAATAATAAAATGTAATAATATTTTATATTAAATTATAATAAAAATATTTTAGTTTATGTAATTTTATTTTAATTATTCATTTTATAAATATTAAATAAATTGTTACAACAAAAAATATTTACTATCAATCGTATAGTAATAAAATAAATTAAAATTTATTGTTATTGTTATTGTAACTAAAAAATAGTACAATAATGTATTTATAATTAACTAGAAATAAGAAAGAAGTGTACAAAAAAAAAGAACAAGAAGAACAAGAACAAGAACGAGATATACTCTGATTCTGATTCTAGTCAGTTTTAGTAAACAACATCAAAGGAATAACATTTCTATTCTGATTGATTTTTATTCCGATTGATTTTTATTCCGATTTCTGATAAGTAAACATTGTCGTGGTTTTAAGAATTGTAATCAAAGTATCCACAGTGTAGAGCTCGAAAAGACAAAACCAATGCCCGTTAAATCATTCAAATCGGAGTTTAAACGAAGAAGTTATGGTCAAAACAAGTCAAGAGAAAAATCCTACGTGGCAGGTGACGTGGACAAGTGGACAAATCCTACATGGTGGGTGACATGGACAAGTGGACCACTCAGAAGTTAACATGTGGCATCAAGATGACATATTACTTATGCTGACGTGGCATCCAACAATCCACTAGAACAAAATCGGGATTTAATGACGGGCATTGGCCGTCATTGGAGGGGAACGATGTCGAACACGCGTCCGACATCGTTTCGAGTGTTATTGTAACTTTTGATGTCGGACGGATATCAATGACAGGTAGCCCGTCATTGTAGGTGACCGCCATTGTTTCCTACAATGACGGTCACTTATGATGTCGGTTATGGCTCGACATCAATTCGGGTGTTATTGTAGCCTACAATGTCAGTCATCAAATTTCCGTCATTAAATGTCCGTCATTATATGTCTGTCATTGAATGTTCATTTTCAATGTCAGGCAATGTCCGTCATTGTTTGGGTAATAATTTAATACAAAAAATTGTTGGTTGCTTCACTAGGCTAACCAACCATATTTCCCAATTTCTCAATCTAAGCACAAATCTCAATAATATTTTTTATACATGCATAGTTGTAAACAACAACCTTGTTCTTTATACATAAAGACAATAAACAATAAGGATTAATACTCGTTCATCAAACTTAACTAAAAAAAATTAGAATTTCAGCATGACCTCTACTACAATATCATAAACCACAGTGAGATATGATAACATATAACATATATTTAAACATAATATGTATAGACCTTATTTATAAATAACCAAAAACATTTCCGCCTTTCTCAACATGCAAAAATCACAAGAGTTAAAAAAAAAATACAAGAATTTACTCAACACATGTGTACTTATAAACAACAACCTTCATTTACATAACTCAATAGGCAATAAAGATTAAATTATCTTCAAGCATAAGTGAAACAAAAAATGTCAAATTTTCAACATGACCCCTGCTAAAATATTCTAAAACCACGCCTGAAATACGAGATGACATATAACACATATTCAAACATAATATATATATTGGACCACCCATCTCTCGTCAAACTACATTCAACAACATATCCAACACTTGTATACATGTAATATGATATTTATATTAAACAAAATAATCTTCGTACAATATGTTACAAAAGTTACAAAATAAAACTAGCTAAAAGCTTCATGTCATTTGCTTTATGAAATCTACTCTACTTAGAAGAGTTTTAGAGTAGCCAAATTAGAAGAACCTGAAAAATGAAGCATAGTTTTTAAAAATCAAAAGACACCTAAAATCAAAATGCAGCAAGCTTACATTAGAAAGAGTAGAGATCATGTATCAAAATACAAGGTCAAGTACAATCACATGAAACCTAACCCAACCCCAAGCTAACCATGCAAAATCAATGTTTGAATTAAACATAAGAACTATGCAAGATCTAACTCATATATCAAAATAACAACTTTAAACATAACTCACTCCCTAAAGTTACCTCATGAGCATAATTCCAAGTCTCAACAAGAAACAAAGATCATAAATAACCTAACCAACGATCAAGGTAAAATGCAAATTCTAACACATTAGTCAATAACTCAATGATGCCTATATCATAAGACACAAACTCATGCATAATTCTAAAACTTCCATCATAACTTTTTGCTACAATCTTATCGAATCAAAACTACCCTCAAATTGGTTACTATAACTGCAGGATAGCCAGACAATTACTTCATATGATAAGTATGAAATATTAACTGGCAACCATAACTGTATGATAGCCACACAACTACGTCTCTTATCATCAAAATTATATGCATGTTCAAATTACTATAGAGGGAGGTGATTCATACCTATCCAGAAGATGGGCATGTTCCTGAGCTTTGTTGACTCATGAAATTTGCAGATATGGCCTTGAAGGATGGCATCTCCCATGAATTATGGGCTGATATTTTTCGAGCTAATTAAGTATCTTGAACTAGAAAAAAATATAAAAAAAAAAGTATATGTGCCAGTAGATTAGTTCAGAATCAAGCCACACAAAAGAATTATCAAAATTTATCTAGTCTATCCAAGGTTGAAATGCATTCAATTGGAAAGTTAAAAATTTAAAAGCACAAGCAAGCATGAAGCATCACAGGAGTATCCATTTGGAATATCAATAACAACAATGCTACCTGAAATGCTTGGATTTTCTGCTACAGAAGAGAGTCTTCAATGGTACCAAGACCAAGTTGATCATTTTGATTCTCTCCCCCAACTTCAATCATATATTATGCATTTTGATTTTTAGGACTTCGTCCTTGTAGTTCGTTCAATAAACAGTAATGTTTTTAAAGTTGACCATTCTATTCAACTTCAAAATAATATGACACAAAACTAAAAGAAGCTACAATACTCAAGATCAAATGGAGTGGGAGAAAAATATGCGACATGTGCCATCTTAATTGTACCAAAACCAAACTAGTCTCATGATATTGGGATTTCAACAAACAATAACGTTTTAAAAAAATGTCATCGTGCTCCCTTACATCAATCTGGTTGCCCTCTCCACATTAACAAAAATAGCCAGTATGAACTAGGATAATAAATGGAGGAATGTATTTCTCATCCAAAACTAAAGAAGCTATCAACTACTAAATCTATATAGTTAAATAAATAAAATTACATTTAGTGAAACAAGGTGAAAGATTAAAAAAAAAGAAAAAAACTTACCAAAGCTAGTTACTTGAGATCACTCAATGAAAAGTTCGGTCCACCCCAACTTACATAACTGTCAACCTTGAACCAATGTCTATCTGCAGACAAAAAAATGAACGCTCAGTTTGAAATGAATTTTGAAAAACACGTTTTTAATTATGGTTTTGACCATAATTAAAAACATGTTATTCGAAATTCTTGGGTTAAAACCAATGTTTTTAAGAATATTCAAAACCAATTCCCTAATTTTGTTCGGCGAAAAGATTTAGTTGGGTCAAAATCAACATTTACAGTTCAAGTGTAATCCAGATTCTATGTTTCTTTTGATCATTTCTTCTGTATTCATTCTACAATCCAACTACAATGGATTCTTTCCCAACTCAGTACTTAAGCTTATTGTTGTTAATAATACTTAAAATTATCAAAAATCTAATGAGCTTCCTCTGCAAGTTGTGGAAGCTCCCCTGTGGAATCGAAATAAGCCATTAGAGATAGAGATATTAATTAACCAGTTTCTAACTATACCAAGGATGAAGAAAGTTAAAGCAAGAGATATAAAAAATTTCCTATTTGGTTGTCCTTGTGTATGGGCGTTGAGAGCATGAAATCGATGTCAAGATGTTTATTAAAACAAAGAAATTATGGAAGCTAATCTTCAAAAAGTACAGAAAAAAAGAAAAATTAGCCGATAGCCTATTTCTTTATGCGTGTACATGAGGAAAATCTCCAAGACTCCATCTCTTTGCTTAACATTTTCCACTCCTAAATGTAGCTTGTGATTTTCCCAAACTTGATCGACAAACCATTGAAATTATCGATTCAGTAATATAGAACAACCCAAAAGAACCAAGGAAATCATTTGCAAGAAACGATGAAAACAAAGAGAAATATTCAAGACGTACCAGCGAAGAAGGAGGACGAATCTAGGGCTTCAATCCCCCGTCGCTGGAAGAGATGGAGGTTGCTTTCAGAGTTCTTCGTCGCTCCGGCCGCCAGATCGTCCCCATCGCACGCAAGGGCCGCCAAATCGTCCCCATCACATGCAATGGGGCTGGGTTTTCACACGGAGCTTGTTCGCGCGACGGAGGGAGGCAAAAATTTTGTAAAGTGACAAATTTTCGTGGTGAAAATTAAAGTTAGGGTTAAAAAAGTTGGGTCAATTTTAATGGCGAGCTGGGCCTGACATTAAACGCAGTTTTACTATGTCGGACCTAGCCCGATATCTCTTCCCCAAATGACGGGTAATTGTGCGATTGTATTAGAGTTTGGCACTAAGAAGCAGAAGGAAATAACTGGACTTTTGAGGTGGATAAAAGATAATTTATATGAATGACGTGTGAAGTTTAATTAAATTATAAAGATAAAATTGAAACTTTTAAAATTATTAAGGACCAAATTGAAATTAAGTTCAAATTACAGGGATCAAATTGAAACTTTTACACTATAGGTACCAAATTGAAAACATGCACAAACCATTCGAAGCACATTTTATAGTTTAAACAGAAATTTTTTTTACATAAAATACTAAATTATAAGTTCGCATTTGAATTTTCAACTCGTGTCTATTAAGTCCATATACTTCAAAGAGTTTCTAAAATATGTCAGTTGTGTCTATTGAATTCATGTATTTGAAAAGTTTATAATACGTCAAACTTTAAAGTTGTGTCTATCTAATTCATGTATTTTAACTTTTTTTTAATAACTTCGGAACTTTTAATTTTGTATATAATAAATCTCTAAGTTAACTTTGTGAGTATAATGTTTATGCTACCAAATATCTGGACCTACTTGAAATCAATTTACCATATAACCCGTAAGTAATATAGACATCGTTACCTAAATTAAGGTTGATTAAGATACTTATGAGACACAAAATTAAAATTACAAAAGACTTATTAGAATCTTTTTAAAATACAAGGTTAGGTAGACACAATTTTGAAGCTTGAGTAGTCCATAAGAAACTTTTCAACGTGTAGAGACTTTAACCTATACAATTTTGAAAATTTAAGGACCGAACTTATAATCCAACCTTAATAAAAAAAAATAATTACCATTTTAATCCTTTTGATTTCAAAAGTTTCAAGTGGGTTCCTATTATTTTATTAAATCTTCCAATACGATGTTAATAATTTTCTTAGGTGAAATGTTTTTTTCTTGTTT